TAAAAAACAAACAAGAAGTGCTTGATCAGGATTAAATGGAGTCATGAAAAGGGGATGACAGCAGTGGACTTAAAACCACAGTCAGCCTACTGAATGTCACAAACACAATCAGCTGAAAGAACCATAAATGCAGGCATATTTATATGGCACTTGCCCTCCAGAATTAGTTTTTTTAAAAAATATATATATTTTATTGATTTTTTACAGAGAGAAAGAGATAGGGAGAGAGAGTTAAAAACATCGATGAGAGAGAAACATCAATGAGCTGCCTCCTGCACACCCCTTACTGGGGATGTGGTGCACAGGCTGACGCTCTATCCACTGAGCCAAACCAGTTAGGGCCAGAATTAGTTTATTTTACCATACCATTCAAACTCATGGAAGCGAGGGTTGTCTAGAATGACTACATAAATTAGGTTTAATAAAATTACTTGACTATACTCCACTCAACCTCAAGTGCTCATCTTTTTAAATCCCTGAATCAGAATCCCTCTGGTTCCACAGCTCATAAGTGACAATTAAAATTACAGAAAAAAATATGATGTGGCAGTCACTGACCATATATTTTTGTAGTTTCTTTCTGATGTCTGACATTACAATTTTGTTCCCATTTCAATCTATAACATCAGGTGTGTGTGTGGTGGAGTATGTGAGAGAGAGAGAGAGAGAGAGAGAGAGAGAGAGAGAGAGAGAGAGAGAGAGAGAGTGTGTGTGTGTGTGTGTGTGTGTGTGTGTGTGTGTGTGTGAAGACACTGGAAAGAATATTTAAATTTGGGATAGAGACTTGAAAATATGATAAAGGATAACTGCTTAAGAGGAAGTATCAACCAGGAACTCTTTTGGATATATAAAGTCTTTGTTTTTCTAGATTTTGTTTCTTTGAGGTACATCCATATGACACTTGGATGTGAGATTGTTGGAGCTGCTGAAACCGGTTTGGCTCAGTGGATAGAGCGTCAGCCTGGGACTGAAGGGTCCCGGGTTCCATTCAGGTCAAGGGCATGTACCTTGGCTGTGGGCACACCCCCAGTAGGGGGCGTTCAAGAGGCAGCTGATCGATGATTCTCTCTTATTGATGTTTCTAACTCTCTATCCCTCTCTCTTCCTCTCCGTAAAAAATCAATAAAATATATTAAAAAAAAAAAAAAAGAAATTGTTGGAGCCTGTCTTGCAAAGTAAAGGTCAGAGAGCGGAACTAAACCAGGGCTTAATTCCTAACATAATAAGGTGTAAGACACTGCAGCAGAAGGAACAGTGTTCCCCAAGAGTGGTAAACATGCTCATGTTGGTTTATAGGGTACATGGTCAAATGCTTTTTATTTCCAACTGCTTGATGAACACATAATTATGTTCATTTTAACATGTATTAGGCTATGATTTCTGTACATTATTTAGTTATATAAATATGTGTATCATTTAACTATACAAATTATGATATCATGTATATTATTGCTTAGAATAATAGTGATAGTAAATTTCCTTAACGTCATTCAACTAAAGAAAGTCAGTTGGATGGAAAATACTCAGCGAGAATGTGTGGGTGGCAAACAAATATGATGAAAGTTATGAAAGAGGCGCATGAATTACTGAGGTTTGAGAAATGCTAGTCAGAGAACTGGATATTTTCTTTTAAACTAAATACTTGCTACCTGTCATTGTTTTATGAATGAAAGTGTTAAGGAAGTAGAGTTGCATACGTTATTTGTTTTTAAAGTGCATGAGATGAGGGTGTCCTGAGTATCATCAACCATGTTCCTGTGCTAAATCAACCATTCTGTTGTGGACTGTGAGAGACGCTGTGTTTGTTCATAACTCCGGGAGGTGTATAATGAATGTCTACAGCTCAGTCTTTCACAACAGCACTATGCAAAGTAGGAGCATGAAACAGTCAACACCATAGGACTGGTCCAGGGGCCTGGATTGCTGCACCGGGTCTGCAGTAAACTAGTTCCCCATGCTTTGTGCTGGCATCAGGTGACCTAACGGCTCTTGTTTTTGCTGAGCTACATGCAACATCTCGCACCAGATTGATTGGCCTGGCAAAGTTGCAAATTTTATTACGCAAAAGTTGAGAAGGAGCAAAGCTGAAGAGTGCTAAAAACAGTACACTTTGCTACTGTGTAGTATCTGTATTTGGGGCTCAGAGTGTTTATTTATAGATATCTATTAATACATAGCAAGAGATACAGAAAGAAACATAAAAATACTTTTATCAAATAGTTTCGAGAAATCAAGTGTAACAGCAAAAGAACAGTAATAGCAAACTGTTCTACAGGGGGGGAAAGCCATCCTCATCACTTCTTCTCTCCCTTCCCTTTCCTCTCTGAGGACTGAGGCTACAAGAGCCCCTCCCTTCCTCGGTCTTGGAGGGGTGGGGTGTGGAGGGAGGTGGGATCTCCAAGTTTATTCCTTTGTCCAGCTCTTTTAACCTCCTCCTCTCCTACCTCCCTCTCTAGCAATGCTTCAAGTGAAGGAGAGGTGGGAACTTCCAGCTTGTAAAACTGGTTTGTTGGGCTTCTTTCTCCTTCCCCTCTCTTGCTTCTTGGGAAATTTACTTGCTGGGCAGCTGCCTGGCAGTGCTATAGCTGCCTTTTCTGGGTTTGAAAGGGCTTCTCCTTCCTTCGAAAGAGGCCAAAGAGGCCGCCCTGAGAGGTGGAGATGGGGAAATGGGCAAGAGAAGGCAGATGCCACCACTCCCCATGACACACAAAGAGAGAGAAATGGAAATACACACGCAGACACAACTGTACACATGTTTGGAACTTGGGATTCAAAGAGTACTTGGAACGATGGGACCCTCCCAGGTCTGAAACCCCGTGTGTTTACTTTAGCAGAGCCCTAGGAGGCCCAGGGTGAGGAGTGTGGGGCCAGATCACTGCCACCCACTTTTTGTTTTTATAATTAAAATGCATTCACAGGATTTTACAGGATGACACAGACAGGAGATGAGAGGAGGGAGGGCTGTGGGAAGGCGTGTGGGCTGTTTAATTTTGCTTCATTTCTCCACCTACCTGATGGTTGGGTGCGTTGGCACCTGCAAGGGCAGCCTTACCAAGGTGGGGGTGACTGTGTAGAGATGAGCTTCCCTGCTGGGGGGTAGCCCAGGCTGGACCCAGAGAGACTGGGAAGGGCCATTACTTCTAGGGAGGAGCTTAGGACAGGTTGGTACTGGCTGTGACCAGTGTTTTGTCAATGTTGCAAGGAGATAAAAGAAAGGGTATGAGGGTGATCCCTGCCACCTTTCCCTTCAGGGTCAAGCTTGGATCTTGTGAATGTGGTGTCAGCTTTCCTTGGCTATCCCTGTGGTCTGCTGGGGGGAGGAGGTTGGGACACACTGGCCAGAGTTGGCTTCCTGCTTGTTGCCACCCAGACCTAGGGACAGCTGTGCCCTCTCCAGCCCCCAGGGTGGGGCTGAGGTCAGCATAGGGAGCAGGCAGAGGGCCATGGCAGAGCCCCAGGGGAGTGGGTGTGGAGGGAGGGTCTCTGCCTCTCCCAGAGCTCCAGCTTGTGCTGGGTGGCTCTTTTAGGGGACAGATCTTACTATGGAACTGACACTGATACTGTTATTGTCTCCTCAACGGTGGTGGCTCCCAGGGAGATCAGGGGACCCCAGTGTGTTCAGGTCCACAGCTTTGGTGTTGGAATAAAATGTGTCCTTTTCATTCTAGAGGTGAAGGGCAGGCAGGGAGAAGGAGGAAGAAACCATTCTTGAGTTCCTTGTGCGTACAGGAAATGGGTTCACAGTTGAATCCTCCCCACTCTCCCTTCCACAGGTGAGGGCATTGGAGTGAAAAGGATGAGGACATGGAGGAAGCCTCTATCTGATGGCGTCCCTAAGTGCCAGATGTAGACTCATCCTTTCCTGTGCAGAGAAGATGCTCTGAGTTCATCCCATCGGCCTTCGCAGTGCACTGTGGGGGAGTTGGTGAAGCATGGGAATTCTGGATGCCTCCGTTTTGTTACTTGAAAAATGAGGCTAATTGACAATACTAGTGTCTTACATTTGTGTTTTGATTTATACATTACAGCATGTTGTCACCTCTTCAATAATTGCCCTGTGGGTACCTGTGGTGTGTGTGTGTGTGTGTGTGTGTGTGTGTGTGTGTGTATTTCAAGGTTAAACAGACAGGACATTGCTTTGATAATGTAAATGCATTATCAAACGTGAGGCATTATCTGGTTCCTTTATTCAGCATCCCATTTCTCCTTCCCACATTGCAATTTACCAAGAGCCCTGACCAAGAACACCCCTTGGCCCTAAATGAAAGAGGCCAAGAAAGGAATCCAGGAAAGGTGTCCCCATGCAGGGAGCAAATGGCATGTTCTGAGGGGCACCCCTTACCTAGGTGAGGCTCCATGCTTGTGCTGCCACAGCTCCCACCTCCTTATGTTATTTGGAAGCCAAGGCTTTTATTGTCTGTCCCCACAGGACATCAGCCCTTTGCTCTTCGTCTCCCCCTGGCGTTCCTCTTCTGCTATTTCTTAAGATCAGTGTTGAACGCGGGTGTTCCCTGAAGGAGAGAAAGGTGGGCACAGAGAAACCTTGTGGGGTTTCTCACTGCTAATACTGAAAGATTGGGTATGACCTGAAAGGGATCTTTTTTTTTTTTTTTTAACTTTCTTTCCTTGCGATGACCTTTTTCACCGTGGACGGCAAAGAGATTCAGCAAAAAAAGACTTTTAGGGGAGGGGCTTGAAGTAAGAGAAAAAAGTTGGATATCTCCTAAATAATCTGTCCCCCAGCGGGGGGCAGTGACTAGGGAGAGCGCTCCCTTGTTTAAGCGATCGGAGGGACATAAAAGGAAAATGAAGCGGACAACAATTCAAAAAAAAAAAAAAAATCCCCCGCACACAATACAATCTATTTAAACGCACTCATACTTTTCATACCAAGGGCATGACTTTTCTGGAGTCCCTCTTGTGGTTCTTGAACTCTGGGGCTGGCAGCTGGCAGAGGGGAAGCAGACAGCAGCGCCGCACGGGCAGGTCTGCCTGGTCTCCAATGGGCATTTTCTTTCTCCTGGCCCTGGCCCTGCCCCCGGACTGTCAGACGGCGGGCGTCTGCCTCTGAAGTCAGCAGCGATTTCCTCTAGAGCCCGGCCTTATCTCCGGCTGCACGTTGCCTGCTGGTGACTAATAACACAATAACATTGTCTGAGGCTGGAATAAAGTCAGCCCTGTTTACCCCCACTCCATAGGGGTTCAATATAAAAAGCCGGAGGAGAGCTGTCCAAGTCAGACGCGCTCCTGCATCTGCTGGGGCAAGTGAGCGAGCGAGCGCCGCGAGGGTTCTCGGTCTGGTCTCCGCTGTTGCTGTCCCCCAGCCGCCCGCTGCGCCCTCCGACCGCTCCACCGCCTCACTCCCCGCAGGCACTCCTCTCTCCCCGCGGAGGAGCGCCCAGGCTGACGGATCCACAGCCACCAGAAGCGCTTTGAGGGAACTGAAGCTGCTTCTCTGCGTTCCTACTATTGGGTTTAGTTTGCAGGGAATTCTGATTGTTTTCAGGATGGATTATTTCCCCGTGATCCTCTCTCTGCTGTTTGTGGCTTTCCAAGGAGCTCCAGGAACAGGTAAGGAGCGTTGGCTTGTAACTCTCTTGGACGGTGAAAGCCTTCTTATCCTCCTTAAAGCTTCCCTTGCTTCTTTTTCCCCCTTCTTTTTATTTCTGTAGCTTAGATATCAAGTCGCTGGGAATTATTACTCAAAGCTACTTAAATTTTCTAGTGGGGAAAAAAAATCCACTATTGAACACAATTGCTCCTGTAGCAATTAAAAGGACATTATGGTTACTGCACAGTGTACTTAGGTGGCTTATAACAATGAATCCAAGAAACATAGAGACAAGATATAATCGAGCCAAATGTGCATTTGCAATGTATGTGTTCATACAGGTAATGAGACGCATAGGAACGGATATCTTATTCAAACGCTGTTTTATTAGTGTGTTAATCTGCAAAATATTTAAACATTTCAGCTTGAAGCCAAGGAATTTTATTCAGGCCATTCAAGCAATATTTGAGCAGTAAAATCACCTGCAGAACAGTCTGTTGAATAACGCCCCCCAGGCGGTTTCAGGGCGAAGCAGATGTTTTCTTTAAAATGTGTCATTATTGACTGTAGGTTTCTTTTGGCAGATTTTTGGCACCCAGAACAGTGTGAGCTCTATCTTCAGTTTTGTTCACCTGTCCTGGCAGGGGAGCTGGGATAAGTCTTGGCTGCTTACAGATTTAGATAGAACGTGTGCATCTGCCCAGTCCCCCTTCTGGGGTCAATGCACTTGTTTTGTCTTTTTGTGACCCTGACTAAAGAGAAAGGATGTCAAAGGAATGAAAATCCTGGAATGTGTCTGATCATGTGAAATGTACAAAATCGGGCAGATAAGCTGCACTGCTAACTCATCAGGAAGCAGAGCCGGTGCTGCAGCGGGAGGGGGAGGCGGTGATCCCACACATGCCCGCTGCCCTGGGGACTCTGAATTCAGCATCCCCAGAGCCTCAGCTAGGTCCCCTGAGCCACTGCTCAGCTTCACCTTAGATCAGTGGTTTCTGTGGAGGCGACCGCCTGGAATAAATATGAAGAGCGGATTTCTCTTCTTTACCTCCAATCATCCCCCCAAAGTTCTTGACCTCCCCCTAATTTCGAAGGGTATATATCGCCTGGGCCACTCTCTGCCCTACACACATGTGAAGTAGTGGGTAAACAGAAGGTCATTGTGCATGGGATAGAGGCTCCAAACCTAGGAACAGGCAGGGGATTTACTCAGTTCTAGCCTTTTTGTCATCAATTTTAAGCCACTGCAGGTTGAGCTGTCTGTCCTACTAAGTGTCATGCAGAAGCCAACCCAGATTCTAACAGGCAGCATTTCCATGCATTTCCTTGAAGGTTGCCTCGAAGGGGCTGGTAACTCCCTTTCCAGGTGGTTGTTTCTTCTGCACTTGTGTAATCTCTCTGAAGGTCGATAAGGCAGTGGGGTAAAGGTGAAGACATGTAAAGGAGGGAATAAATAAAGAACCCTTTCCCTCTGGGTTCCCTGCTGAGGGCAGGCTGTAGGTTCTGTCTGCTCTGCTCTGCTCATCCTGGCATCAATCCTGTGATGTAGCACACCCCTGGCCCCCGATGGGATTCCCCCACTGACCTGCTCTTTCTCTCCCCAGCTGTCTTGGGCGCTGAGCTCAGCACGGGAGCGGACAGCGGAAGAGAGGAACCCTCTCCCAGCGCACCCCGCCGCTCCAAGCGCTGCTCCTGCTCTTCCCTGCTGGATAAAGAGTGTGTCTACTTTTGCCACCTGGACATCATCTGGATCAACACTCCCGGGTGAGTCTCTAGAGGGCATTGTAACCCTAGTCATTCCATCGCTCTGCCTTAACCAGAGAGGGAAGCTCAGTTACTCCAGTTACTGTTCTGGGAAGCCTGCAGTTTGCTTTTCTGACAACATGCAAGAGACCCACCCCTTGGGAGGGGACAGTGCCCCTCCATTCCTGAAAAGAACAAGGCAGCTTGGTTCTTAGCAGCAGAAGGGAGTTTCTTCTGAGGCCTGTGGCTCAGACTACTCACGGCAGGAAGACTATGAAAGAGCTGATAGCAAGCAGAAGGCTGCCACAAATTTCTGAGGAGAGACTTCAAGCTTGGGGACTTGGAGAAATGCTCTCTCAATGGGACCTGCTTGGGTTCAGGGAATAAGGTTCTGAGGTCATATGGCTTATCATGGGAGGGTAAAGACTTAAGAGGCAGAGAGATCAAAGAGATTCATAATCTAATCCTCCACTTTATATATACAAAGATGGAGACCCAAAACATTGAAGCCACTTGTGGAGGAAAGAGTTCATGGCAGTGCTGGACTGAGAACCCGGGAGTCCTGACTCCTCTGAACTTGGCTGTTAGAAAAGTCCATTTCAAGGCAGTAATAGAAACATGGTCCATAAATGTCCCTTTTGCCTCAAGAGTGAAGGAGGCACTTTCTACCCTTTTCCCCTGAAAAGTAGTTCACCTCTCAGAAGCAGTCGTAAACAAAAACACATTTATAGTGCCTGCAGGGCCCCACTATAGTAAGGGATGACCAAAATCAAATCAAACTAAACAAACCTCCACAAGCCTAATACTTAGTGAGGTGGGTAATTCGTCCAAGGGGAGGACTTTATTTCCTAAGCAAGAATCAAAACGAGCACATTAGAAATTACTGGAGAGCATTCTGGCAAGGAGTCCTTCTATGGGCATATCAGCAAATCGCAGATGTGCCAACTTGGGCATCCTCCCGCCTCCTCAGAGGGCACTTCTAACCTTATCATAAGATCTGGATTGAACATAGGTATTCTAAGTCTATGAGTCATGGTTTTTACGTCCCTATACCCCTCCCCCAATACCTATTGCTAATTGGAATGTTAGAAAAGGAAGGAAATATGAAGCAGATACTAAAACAGAGATGTCATAATTTTGGACCAAAAAACAATGCTGTTTGTGTGGAGAAGAAATTGAACTTTGTTAAGAAATGAAATTGAAATGAATTAGAAAAACTGGTTTCTCCTGGTTGAGAGTATACACTCAGGGCCCCTGACAGACACGTGATCCTGACTTGCCACACCTCATGCTCCCAAGTTTTGCTACCAAACACCCCGTGGTGAGCTCCATGTGTTCCAATGGGACGAGTTTACCTCATACAATGCAGCGTTTTGAAAACTGTGAATCATGCTAATATTTTTTGTTTCTCTTTTGATAATAGGAAAATTGTTCCATATGGACTTGGAAACCCTCCTAGGACCAAACGATCCTTAAAGGATTTATTTCCTACAAAAGCAACAGACTGGAGGGACAGATGCCAGTGTGTCAGCCAAAAAGACAAGAAGTGCTGGAATTTTTGCCAAGCAGGAAAAGAACTCAGGTGAATAGAAAAATATCTTTGCTTTCAAACAGTTTTATGTTCTCCTGACCTCCTTCCCATTATAATGCTTTAAATAAGAAGCACAAACTTCCAGGAGTAAAATAAGTAAGCCATGGGGAGGTAGTGTATAGGACAGAAAAATACTAATAATATTGTAATAACTTGGCACAGTGACAGATGGGTACTAGACTTATGGTGTTGATCACATCTCAAAGTATATAAATGTTGAACGACTATGTTGTACACCAGACACTAATATAGTACTGAATGCCAACTCTACTTTAATAAACATTTTTAAGAAAAAGAGATTGACAGAGACATTGTGAACAACTGAAGGTGCCGTTGCTGAAATGTTTGTCCCTGTGTACATTTTAGCAGGGACCAAGACACGATGGAGAAAGTCTGGGATAACCACAAGAAAGGAAAGGACTGTTCCACGCTTGGAAAGAAGTGTATTCAGCAACAGCTGGCGGAAGGAAGAAAAATGAGAAGGTAAGAGGCTCCTAAGAACCTCTAGTTCCACCACCAATGCTAATGGACTGCTCCCCCAGCCACTCTTAGCTTGACTGGAGAGCAGGCTTAGGAAACAATAACAAAGGGGATCTTCATAGTCTATAGGTTAAAACGAGCAGAGGAATCCCTCTCATATCTTTTTTTGAAGGCTTTGAAAGCAGGTCACTGCCCACTTTGGTGATCTTTTTCCAAACAAAGTATATCTCGAGACACCCTTGTCATTTGGTCATACCCAGTCTTTGCCTCTCTGAGTTACTAGATTTACTACTTTCCTGAAAACCTAAAAACCATTTCAGGGAGAGCTTTCTCCCACTCCCCCCACCTCCTCCTAAGTCAAAGTGTCATGTATGATCAAGTTCTTCAAACAGCAGCAGTTGTTCAGATGGCCAAAGGGAAAATAAAGTCATTAGGTAAGGTTGGTGAGAGTTAGAACATGCTGTTTTGAGGGTTTATTTTTTTATTTTTTTATAAGGGAACACATTTGGTGGAGAGCCAACACCATTCCAAGAAGCTCACTCCTTTTCTCGTTAGGCATGAGGTGGGGCAGAGAGGGACCTGGGTCAGGCAACCCCATAGGCTTGCTTTGAGCAGCTCCACGGGGATGACCCTTTTAAACCCTACACGTTGTGGGATTCGCAACCTGTAGGGAAGACACTTGCTTTCAGATCTGTCACATGTTCTCCACTTCCCTCTCATGGCCTGTGGAAACTTTTCCTAGAAACACAGTGGCAAGACGTTCTATGACCCAAGTGTTGTGCGCACAGGCCTGGCCGTCATGAAGTGCTTCTGGGTTGTTTACTACCAGGCATGCGACAGCCTCGGCTGTCTGGGACTCCAAACCTGCCAGTGCAGTTTCCCTAGTTATGATCTCAGGCCACTCATGCTCCCTAGATTTCAGGATTACAAAAAGCACCGTTTCTGAACTGACCTGGAAATGATGTTTTATCAGTTTCTGTTATATAAACTATTATATTATACAACTCATCCCTTTTTCTTTCTTCTGTCAAAACAAACTAACAAACAACAAAAACATTAAACCTTAAAAAAAAAAAAAAAAAGGAGTTTGTTTTAATTGTCAACATTTGCTTTGGGCCTATAAATACACCTTTTAAAATTTTTTTCCACTAAGGGTGGGATAGGGATACAAAAAAAAAAAAAAAAAAAAAAAGGATACCTTAAAATTGTATTTTAAAATTGTATTTAATACCCAATTACCTTTAGATATGAGCACATTATTTGTTCTCTCTGCACCCTTTCCCCATTTTAGGCACCAAGGCAGGCTTTATTTGCATCTGAGGTTAGCAAAGGGCCCATGGTGGTGAAATTGAATTTGTTTGTGCCAGACTCTAATTTTAGACATTTATTTTGCCCAGGAATGATTAAAGAAAAAAAAATCACATTTGTTTTCTCTTATCTTAATAGGTTGGAGGCTATCAGCAACAGCATCAAAACTTCTTTTCGTATTGCAAAGCTGAAAGCCAAGCTCTCCAGAGAGAAGAAAGTGACCCACAACCGAACACACTGATTACAACCATCCCATCTGAAGCCTTCTCCTCCACAGAGACAGCGCGCTGTGCGGCTGACCGCTCTCTCTCCACACCGGCCTGCATCACAGCAAAAGCATCCTTCCTCCTTAGAGCATTTCTTGCTCCAGACTGGCCTCAGATCAGCGTCCTCCTTCTAAACATTCCACAAACGGTTAAGGAGTCCCCCGGCCCATCTTCATTTGCTTCCATCACTGGTCATTGCTTTTGTCTGTCCCCCTTTGGGGTGACAATGGACCATTCAGAGGAAGCAGAGTGACATGATGACTGTAAATTATGATGGCATCCTCCACAGGGCGGAGAGGAGACTCCGCTTGCCGGTGGGGCTCCTGACAAGGGTAGGAAGGAAGTGTTTGTGTCTCGCTCAGGCGCCCGGCACCGTTCAGAGAGAAACTGCATAGTCCACGAAGAGATTGCCTAAGGAATGCACAAAGTGAAAACATAATTGAGTTAAGAAAATACACACACACACAACTCCAAAATCTTTATTTTTTAATTCACAAAATGCAAAACTGAAACTGTTACTACTATAAATCAGGATGTGTTTCATAAATATGAATCTACCTCACCTGTATTGCACTCTCGCACAAATATTTTCCCACCTTTAATTATTGCCTCCCAAACTCTCCCCCCTCCTGTTATCCCCTCCTCTGATACCTCCATGCTAAATCCTAGCCTCATAGAAGTCTTGTCTAATGTGTCAGTGGTAGATAGGACATTTTCATGGTAATCTACTAGCTCTGGTCCATAAGATCATTGAATCAGAAGATTCCCTTACCTTAATTTTTGGAAACGCAATGGTATAGGGTTGTTTATGAAAGACATTGAAGAGTAAACGTTGGTTATGCTTTAAAGCAGTAAAATTATTTTCCTTTATATAACTGGCAAATGGAAGAGATTGGATTAAATTTTGATGTACTTATTTTTTTATAGATATTTATATTCAAACAATTTATTCCTTATATTTACCATGTTAAATATGTCTGGGCAGGCCATATTGGTCTATGTGTATTTTTAAAAATGTATTTCTGAATGAAATTGAGAAAATGCTTTGTTTTGCCTGTCAAGGTAATGACTTTAGAAAATAAATATTTTTTTTCCTCTACCTTACTGATTTTGAGTCATTTCTGAAATTCCTAAGAAGTGGGCAGAGTGGTAAGAATTATGAAGGGGAAGGGTTAAAGATGGTTTGTAAGAAAGGTGACAATTAGAAGGAAAATAGCCTTAGCTATTTTTCAAAAAAGAACTTGATCTGTAACTTAGTTGCCTTTGGATCACATTAAAGTAAAAACAAAACGGAACCCAGCTTTAACTCCTCTGTCTTTTCCGAGTAGCAGCCTTCTGTTTCCCATTCACCTGAAAACACTCTGGGGACTTAATTCATTAGCTTTGCTTAGGCTACTAGTCAGGATCCAGCAGTTTAAGCTGATGTTGTGGTGAGAGGTGCTTTCTCCGTTAATGGACTAAAGGAAGCAATGGCAAGGCGACCCCTCACCCCAATGTGACCAATTATACAGTTTTACACCTTCGAGAAAATGGCTTGCTCAGAGCAAGTTAGCTTCCTGCCCTCCCCCCCATCCCAATGGCTTTATATTTGCACAGATTCCGATTTTATTTATTCAGGAACACTGAATACCTTTGACTCTTCATGGTAGCCCTGGACTGGACACATGCCTACGGAGGCAGAGGAATTAAATGCTGATACTAGGTCTCCTGCAGTCCAGCACCACCCTCCTCTCCACTCCACCGCAGCTGGCCTGGTAAGACCAATGCGGGTAATAATATTGTAAATGGTTGTTACCTCCTGAAGCCCATAGAGCTTGACCAGCTTATGAGAATCTTCACCACCCTTCTCTACTAGTGTCTGAAAGAATGTCTGGCATTCAAAAAATATTAGCTCACGGGGATCACTGTTGTTCAAACAGTGACGCATCTGAAAGATGTTAAATAACAGCCTTCAGGTGTGCTTCATGCTTTGTCAGTGTCCTGGGCAGAGTTTCTGTTCTTATTGGCATTGTTTCCCATCTTTCACTTTTTTTTTTTTTAAGAGACAGTTCATTATCTTTGGGGAATTGCTTATAAAGCTCTCTTTATCTAGCGAACTGTTTTCTCAGTGTGTGGCTTCTGAGGAAACTGTGACAAGGGACTTGGCTTGAATTTAGCCACCATTTCACTCTCAGCAACCATTCAGTCCCCCTGCGCTTTGAGTTTTCTCATCTGTTAAGGGGTTGGGAGTGTAGGTGGAGAATTTCTCTAACAGCTTCTAGAAAGGCTGAGACCAAAAACAAGTTGTGTTGGCACACAAGAATGAAGGTAAGAGCTTGGAGGACATGGTTTAATACTTTTAAGAGGGATTGTAAGGCGAAGAAACCACTGAGGAAAGAACAAAGGTGATAACATTTTCTTCCTCTTCCTTAAAAAACCATATTTGGACTTTTAAAGCCTCTTCTCCCAAGTTTCCTGCTTGAGTAACTGGCAAGAAAAGGAAAAAGAATGGAGCCACTCTCCTAAATGAAAAGGTTCACAGAAAATGAATATTTAAAAATATATACTGAAGATTCAATATTATTCAAGGCTCACGCGGCTTGAGGGGTGAACTGGTGGGACAGCCTGTCCTACTTCCTGCAATATTTTTAGGCAAGTGTGGTTTTTGGAAGCCCATTTAGGACATATTTCTCTCTTCACACTAATTGCCAGGCAGGGCTTTGATCTCAGGACTCCAAGGACGAGAGGATCCTGGGTGGGCAGTGGTGACCGTTGGTGAAATGAGGGGAGCCCACTAATGGATACTTTATCCCCCAACCCCAAGGAAATGACTTCTTTTGTGATGGAAACCATTGGCTTTAACTCTGCCCAGGCTTCCTGAAATACTCAGGGTATTATATATACCAAGTAGAATTCTCAGCACACAGGATATCACACTAAGCTAGAGCTCTGTCAGGGAGACTAACAATTTAACAGTAACTGCTTATCATTGTAGAGGACTGTATTTCCCATATACTTTTCACATCCCTTCTCCTATTGGACCCCCTCTGCCAACAATCTTTTTGGGATACTGGGGCCAAATTTTTATACCTATTTGACAGCCTAGGAAACAGACTGTGACTTGTCCAGACTATACCCATCACTAGGCAAATAGCAATACTGAAACTCAGGACCCCTGACCCTTTCTCCTGAAGTTTCCCCAGAACAGAGGGGATAGCACGGGCCCTGAAGTTAAATTATCCTGCTAAAACCTAGGAGGGTAACTAATTTAATTATATTGAAAAACTTAAAGCAACACAATAGCAAATGGAACAGAATTCTCTTATTTTCAAGTGGTATTGAAATTTTGGGACATGCTTTAAAAAAACACACAATTCTAACAGATTTTGGTTAAATTTAGATAAATTAACTAAACTTGTATTTAATAAAATGAAATAATTCTACTGGAAGTCTCTTTACTTAACCAAATATGAAATCATTTTATAGCTCAAATGTTCTGCCAATTCCCTTTTTGTTACATTGTCAAAAATGTGCTTTCACCATGTCAAGAATTCTCACTTGGTATGCACATAGAAATTGCTCAACCACCTGCCAACTTAAATATCTTCTTCAGGAACTTGATAAGATGCCAATTACTCTGGTATGGACATTGCTCACAGGTTTGTTCCCCCATAACTGGTTCATTTTGCTCTGAACAATGACTTCAGGTGGTATCCCTTCTATATTTGGTGAAAGACAAATGCACAAGACAATTAAGAAGATTATCTTATTCAGGATATTGCAATAAAGAAAATGTTCATTAATAAAGTTTATTTCAAGCAAAGGAAGGGGGTCTGGGATTTTACAGAAGATTTAACAGCTTCTACTTTTACTTGTCTACGAGTCTTGTGGGAGTCTTGAAGAAGAATGGAGATGGTCTTCTCTAAGTTGTTGAGAAAGGATTGAAGGAATTAAGCAAGAGCAGGGTGGTCTTTTGGGGTTAGCTATTTCTTAGAACACAAAAGGGGAAGGGAACTTTTTGACCCTTGCTTTTTGGGAACACAAGGCTCAGATCAAGTTCAACTTTATCAGCCCACCTTTCTGTTCAACATGAATATTATTCATCGCTGAACAACTCAGCAGTGACCATAAACCTTCTGAGTGGGGTGAATTGGGGTTTCAGAAATAGTTTCTAAAGGTATTTATCTTCTGCAAAATCAGTTGAACCATCTGTATAGAAGTGATAGAGTTTGGGAGATCAGACCCCATAGAAAAGAATGAAAGAGAAATTCTATATAATAAAGAGATAATATGCAAATTGACTATCACATCCTCACAAGAAGGCTGCCTACAACCAAGACAGCAGGGGGTTAGTGAGGGATGACCAAATGACTGAACAAGCAGGCTGCATAAGGCCATCTGGGGGGCAGTTGAGGATGACCAGGCAGGCAAGGTGGGGGGAGGGGGGAGAAATAGTTAGGAGCAACCAGGCCGGCGGGGGGAGGGGGGGCAGTTTGGGGTGACCAGGCTGGCAGGAGGGACAGTTAGGGACAATCAGGCTGGCATGCAGAGGCAGTGAGGGGTGATCAGGCCAGCAGGGGAGGCAGTAAGGGGTGACCTGGCTGGCAGGGGGGGGGGGGAGGAGGGGAGGGGGGCGGGGTGTGGGGGGGGTACAGTTAGGAGCAACCAAGCTGGCAGGAAGAGAGAAGTTTGGGATGCCTCACCAGCAGCAGGGGGAAGTTAGGGGCAACCAGGCTAGCAGGGAGACGATTAGGGGTATTCAGGCTGGCACACAGAGGCAGTGAGGGGCAATCAGGCTGGCATGGGGGGGCAGTTAGGAGCAACCAGGCAGGCAGGTGAGCAAATTGGAGCCAGTGGTCTGGGATTGTGAGAGGGATATCCGACTATCAATTTTGGCCCAATCTCAGGGATCAGGCCTAAACTGGCAGTTAGACATCCCCCGAGGGTTCCCAGATTGAAGAGGGTGCAGGCTGGGCTGAGGAGACCCCCATACCTGTGCACAAATTTCATGCACTAGGCCTCTAGTGTTAATATAAAAGATATTAAAGAGCCAGGAAAGATAGAAAATTTGATGAGGACTGACAAGTTGGGAAGATAACAGGAGCCAGTCTAATTTACAGATAATAGCAAAACTGATTTTTCCACAGTTGGGGAGCAAGTCAATTAAATAACCACCAGACAAGATAGAATTTGCATATGCATCAGTTATTCACAATTTAGAAACATACCTAAAATTGCTCAAAGACAACAAACAAGGCTCGAATCTGATAAACTGTAAGGATGTACTAGAAATAGGGCTGGAGTCTGATAAACTTTAATGATGTATAGATGTCATTAAAACACCAAATGTCACCGAAACCGGTTTGGCTCAGTGGTAGAGCATCGGTCTGCGGACTGAAAGGTCCCAGGTTCGATTCCGGTCAAGGGCATGTATATTGGTTGCGGGCACATCCCCGGTAGGGGGTGTGCAAGAGGCAGCTGGTCGTCTCTCATCGACGTTTCTAGCTCTCTATCTCTCTCCATTCCTCTCGCTAAAAAATCAATAAAATATATTTAAAAAAAATAAAATAAAAAAAATAAAACACCAAATGTCTCTTTATATGCACCCCACTTTTGATAAAAAATAATCTCCATGGATGATCATTCTTGATGCTAAAATAAGGCTATTTTAATTAAATTTGACATAGTTATTTAGAAAGGTATAGAAGTGGTAATTTACCAGATATGCCCTTTTAAGTTAGTTTTCTGAAATTTTCACAGGAATTTCA